CAATACCTATACATCATCAATAAAAAATGTATTTTATTTAATATTTAGTTACTTCTCAATCAGGTAACGTAATTTGGATCTGATTAAAAGTAACTCGTTATTTTTTTAAATTAAATAAATTAAAACAGTCTACTTAAAAATTAAGCTTATGAAAACTAAATTTAAAAAATTTAAATTTACTTAACTTTTAACTAATTTGTGTCCATCCTTGATAATATCGATACGTATTCTTGTAACTTTGATTTAATCAATTTCGATTCTATATTCTGTCAAACGAGAGAAAAGCCAAATCTATGCAACACCCTGACATTGAAATTGAATTCCCTATATGGTGGATAGACGGGTGGTAATGCTCAGAAGAACCGATTTTCGTTGTGCCATCGCGCATTTTCTCTCGCTATACGGAATACCTAAAATATATAACTTTCAATGTCACAACTAAACCAACTACATTTTAATCAGTTTGATCATAATTTAACTTATGATGATACTTAAAACTTTTAAAAAGAGTATTGAACCAAATTATGCAGTTTTAAAACTTTCTGATTTAAGACATTTTTTTAGCTAGAATCCTGTTTTTCACTAAAAGAATATTTTAACATATATTCTTTGATCAGTACAGTTCGTTATATTAATATAATAATAATTGAATAATTGAATACAACTATATGAGAAAAAAAAAGTTTAGCTCATGAAAAGTGAGTACTGACTCCATCCATTCCAACGGCAAATTTCTATTAGGTTATCAAACACAATTGGTGCTCTTTTTGAAATTGAAATGTAGACTTCTGATTATAGTATTAAAATTCTGTATACTCTATTTAACAWCTGTAAACATAAGTTACAATAGAAACATAAGTTTCTTCTAAAGCATTTGTAAAAAAATATTACAGACATGACCATTGGTCAATCAGCGTGGGGTGGCTAAAAGCAATACCACCACAAAAGGGACCAATACTTGAACTCCGCCCATCGATCGCCAGCGCTCACTTTTCATGAGCCTAAATTCATTAACTTTATTTGTTAACTTAACCAAGAAAATAACAAAAATAAAACCACTGCGCCGGAAATAAAATCCAAATATCTCGTTTGCTTGACGATTTCTCTACGATTAAGTTATCTGACAACACAGACTTAAGACACTACTTCCCATTCGTTAACGGATATTTTCATATTTTTTTCAGTTAATTAGGACATAATGTCTCCTACCAACTAAATATTTAATAGAAATTCTAACAAGAAAGCATAATATTAACATTGTTAAGAAATATGAAAATTAACTATAGTCTATGTTTAATACTTACCACCACTTTTGAGTTTTTGACACTTAAGGTTATATTAAAGTAATTTAAATTTGTTTATTAGCCATATTGGTATACCAGCTAATTTAAAATTCCTCAAAAATCGTTATAATATCTAATTAATAATAAATTATGTACCTAATAAAACCCTTGGTGTAGTATTGAAGTGTAGCAGGAACTGATTTATAAAAATGAGGACCACTTATCCATACACATTTTTACACAGTTAATTCTAATCTAACTGTCAAATATTATAGAAACATATGTTTATACATAACCTAATAGTAACGTTATGCAACAGCACACATCTATCACAAATCATGACTAAATAAATCACAACTTTGTGATACACATACCACCCTTGCCTCGTCTATTGCGTAGTTCTCCATTACTATTATACCTATTCTATTTACATTGCCGACCAATGAAAATTTGGAGAACTATAGGCAATTGTTTCGTGTATAGAATAGTGGTATGCAATATGCTAACTGGATAATTATTGTTTTTTTGTAATAATTTCTATTTTTTTAGTCATGCAACAAATGATATTGCAAAAAGCGTTTTGAATTTGAACAAAAATTATTATAAATATTGCTAAACCAAAATAAAATGAAATTTTTATTTTATCCATTGTTATGACATGAAATAAAGTATTTCATAAGCAAGCTTGTGTTGAAGGTAAAGATAATTAAATAATAATAGGTAATAAATACAAATAAAATAAAAAATAGATATATAATAGAATGCATCATAACTGCTTATAAACATATAATATATAACTATCTTAAGTACAAAAATAACCAGTTAATTATAGTTATTTTAACATTTTTATGTTTGTTGATTATATTATATTATTTTTAATAAAACAGGCCTTAGTTACACACGTAGTCCACGAATTTTTTACCAAAAGATTTTTTAATATATATCACTTAAACATCGTCAGAGAAATATTTCCTTTTTGTTTTTTCATAATTTATAGTTCTCCAATGATTTATATTTTTACCTATCAATAAAATAGCAATTTTTTTAAATAGTAAATCCTCGGGTAATACATAAAATAATTTTAAGTTTTGACTTGATGAACCCTTAAGAGTAGGTTTCTAAAGACATATTCGAAAAATTTGTCTTTGTTGGATTAATAAAGGTTTTAGAGCATGCAGATTCCGTCTTAAATTCTATGTCAAAAATTAGACCCAAATAACAAATGCTAGAAACCCTTAATAACGTTTTACATTTTATATTATTATACAAGTTATTATATCACAGACATGAATTTTTAATGTATCAAAATAATTTTTTTCATCATTAATCATGAAGTTCATAAACATCGTTTTATCATAATTTAAGTCATATCAAGTAAAATTAAATAGATCAAAGAAATATGCACCAGGATTATAACGCAGTTACAGGTAATTTGACTAAATCAGTATTATTTTTTAAATATGTATCTAAAAATCATGTAATTTTCTTTATAAATTATTTCTCACTTGTATAATTTTTTGTCAAATTTAAGCTCGACAAAAATATTGCGTACAGGAATGTCGAACATCGAAAAACTTAAAACRATCATAAAAAAATAGTTTTTCGTTTCTGTTAATGTAATAATAACTTAAATTTGCAGACTATTAGTTATTAAATCAGTTTTTTTCCGCAACATCAGCAATTACATATTACGCTCTTTTCGTGAATTACAACCTATAACCTATACTACACCGCTATACGGCACTCTATATACGCCAAAATACGTGTTTGAAATGTCAAATTGTATATTTTATATATATATACTCAGGGTAGATAAATAATTGAGTGTTTTAGATAATATTATCAGTTCAAAATTTTGTATTATATTTTATTTATTCTAAGGTTACTAGTGCGTGGTTACTAAATAAAGTTTCTTTATTTCATCGAAATTTCTAACGTCTGCTACCATTTACAGTGATGAATGCTTCTAAAGCAAAGTGAGCAATTAAATAAAAACTATATATTGGGTTAGGAAAAAAATTAAATACCTATATATACGTTTTAATACACTTTTATTTATCATAAACTTACAACTAGGTAATTTATAAAAATTTTATTTTCCAAGTTTTTTTACAATTAAATAGAGGTTMAAAATTGGTACAAAATATATAATTTATTTATATTATCTTTTTTTTCATTATTTTTTAAGRTTTTAGAAAAAACATAGTTTTTGATATTTCTATCATTATAAATTTTTATTTTTTTACATTTATTAAATGGTACTATTGGCTATTGCAGTTTACAATTTCTAATATGGATAACATTTTAGATAAGTAGGCAGGTATCTAGTTATCTTCTTCTATACTATAAAAGCAAATCCCGATTTTATGTAACGGCTTGGCTTCGAAATGGCTTGAATGATATGGCTGATTTTTTTTCTGTTGTGTTTGTCATTGTCAAGACAAGGTTTATATGATATACAATTTTAGAAAAATCCACCGGAAAGTAGGAAATTTGAATGTCAAAGATACAACAGTGACTCCTTCCGTCTAGCCCAAAAGAAAACCAATTATCGAACGCTATCCACGATAAGCAAAGAGATTGCGTTCTATCAGAGAAAGTGATACAAATGCCAATGGGAATACCAATAATTCACCATAGTCTTCTTGGCGGTGTAAAGAAATGTTCGCATTTAGGTACGATGCTTCAATCAAATATGAAGATGATGTCCATGTTTTTATTGGCAATATGACTACGATTTGTGAGATTATCTAGGCAATGAAATGGCCTCTTGAAGCACCCAGTTTTTGCTGAAATGGAGGAAAAGTTCTTTTAAACGTAATCGCTAGTCCACAAGAACCATTAAATAGTCTGATTAATAACACACACGATCACTCGATCTAAAGTTTTTCTAGATAATATACTGAGGTATAATTCTGCCTTTTAAATGACTTTTTGGGTGTCACTGAAATAAGACAATTTCATGCCTATATTTAAAATCATGATCAGCTACATCATGCAATTGGTTCACTATTACCAAGCACAAATAAAGAATCAACATTTTTACAAATTTATTTCATGGGAAATGGTTAATTAGATAGATGACTATCTGCATGTCCTCACATCAAGGGAGGAATTTTTTATGATTTGCAAGAACTTCTGCACAGTGGCAATACATGTTCATAACTACAATTTATTTTTAAAAAAACAAGAAAAAGACGAAAAATAAGTAGAARGATAAGAAGAATTTTTAGACAAAAATTTTACACTTRAATTATATATATAATATTTTGTTTTTGATAAATTAAAATATATATGACAGTTCTTTATTTATTATTCTTTATCCTATATTTATTTTTTTAAATTAATTTCAACTGTAGCTTATTTTGTGTTATTCTATAAATTATATAGTAAGTATTATTATGTTTCAAAGTGTCCTAATATTGTGCTAAGTACATAATATAGGTACTATACACATTACACATGCTATTATTTAACTACTGGTCTCATTTATTTAAAACACATATAACCTTTCTGTACTGTATTAGTAAATTGCATGTTTTAAAATAAACATACCTAATTATAATTATTGTGGTGTTTAATTAATTGTATAAAATTGTATCATAACGTTGAGTCCTAATATGCTTTTATTTTAATTATTTTAATATGAAATTATTTTTACAGAAAAATCTAACAGCTATTTTATAACAATATACAAAATATACAAATGAATAGAAAATGAACAATAAACGGTACTCAATATCAACGAAAGAGATGGCCATTAATTMTRAACACAAAGGAACTGTATCAGATAATTGTTTTGAACATATGAATTTAATAAAAATAAATCAACCAATTGATATCCAACTAGCGCATAGTACATTTTTATCAGATGGGATTAAAGAACGGTGGTATCCAAAAGATAGTTTACAAACGGTTTCTTCCAACCTACATCAAACAATGGATTGTAATACAGAAAAAATGCTAAAATTAAATCCTTATCTAATTTTGGATACTGATCCCACATTGGACAATTTTAACTGCTCAAATGTATTATCCATATGTCCTTATTCAGTTGGTAAGTAGAATAAGTCAATTCTAATGAACTTATTAAAAAATTCATATTTAAAAGCAAAATTTATATTATTGGTTAATTTTCTGCCAAATTTAGGAACTGAGCTAGAAAATTGTTTTAACCCTGTTTGCAATACACATGTGAATAAACTAAAAAGGTTTCGAACATCTGATTCACATCAAGAGCATAAAGAACTTTCATCAGATGGAATTAAAGAACGAATGTGTCCTATAGACCGTTTACAAACGCTTCGTACCAATTTACATCAAACAATGGATCGTAAATCAGAAAAACTGCTTAAATTAAATCCCTACCCAATTTTGGATTCTGATCCTACATTGAACAATTTAAACTACTCAAAAGTATTATCCAAATCTCCTCATACATTAGGTAAAGAGGATATGTAATTTCTAATTAGCTTATTAAAAATTTTTATTTTAAATCAAAAATTATATATTATATGTATTATATATAATTATTTACCAAATTCATTGTACCTACAAACAGAGGATTAAATTTAAAAAAATAAATAAATTAAAATATWAGACAGTACTTATATTGTAAAATACCTGTTTTTAAGGAAATAAAAAGAATGATTATACAACAAATCCAATTTATGAACTTGAACAGAGTGATAAACGGAATATAGCTTTTCAATACCAAAATAATTC